TCTATGTGGACCAGAATTCCCCAGTATGGTGCCAAAGGACAGTAGTTCTACTAGTTCTAATTGCTTTATCTAATACAGAGTCGTGGGGGAGCCCGAGCCTAACCCGGTGACCAACAGATGCAAGGTAGGATACAATTTGGATGGGGTGCCAGTTGGTTCTCAAAATCACCTGTGCTAAGTGATGCATTCATTGAGCTGCTGCATGTTTAGACTTTTCCTGCACTTAGTCCTTGGTTTCAAAAATACCCTTTAAGCAAAAAAAAAAAAGATTTCCAGCAAAGTCAACATATAGAATGTTATGCACTCTTTCCTTAATAATCAAAATGGGCTTCCTTGTTTCTGACTAGAAAAAGGCTTAACAGGCCATCAGTTTATCGTAAACTTATGCAGGAACCAATGTACATCAACACACTCCCACAATAAGTGTTTGTTTTGTCCATTTGCTTCAAACCTACTGGTTAAACTTCAGTTGGCATCTGAATGAATGACGTTCTGAAACCCAGGAATTGGTATCCATCACATGCTACTTATGAACCCCACAAAATTTAATGTGGCATCTCTTATGAATCTGGTCTCCCTAAACCCCATTATTAGACTGGTGAAGATCTCAATTCTCCACCTAATCTGCTTGTAGTATGAGTGCTACACAAGTGATGGATGAAGTAGGTGAGCACCTGTACCCCAGTGGATGTGGGAGTCTGGAATAAACTCCAGCTACTGTAAGCCAATATTCAGACTTCCTTCAAGAAGTGGCTAGCTAAGATTCTCAAATCGGCTATTAGCAATCAAAAAGGCTCAATAGCTTCCACTCATTTGTAACTATGCTGTCATTAATAATACAAAAATGGTAGCCTTCCAGTTTTCTGTGGTATTTGTTTTTTAATGCAATTATCTATATATTGTACGTGACTGAACTCCCTGCTGAGAAGTGGAAGCAATGCTTACAGTCATGATGTGTTTTGGTAAGATGGTCGGAGTCCAAGGCATGGTAGTATTCATAAACTGAGCGCCCTAGGAGGTCCTCAGGCTGGTACCCCATCAGCTCTGTGATCCTGGAAGATAGGAGCCAGAGGTAGTTTATAACACACTCAATTAATTCAAAGAATAGGAATCCCAATTGTTCAGAAACTAGCATATAACGATTTTAAAATATAAGAGGGAAAATATTAGGAGCTACAGTTTATACCATAAAACTTGTGTATACATGATAATGGCCACTAGGTGGAGATGTTGACTTTTCTCATTTGTGGTTATTCTAAACTGGATATAAAGAATGGCTTTTGTAAAAACTTCCATCTTGGGGGGGAAAAATTGCCAATCTGCCAGCTTTTTTGGTCTTCTCTTCAGACTGCTGCAATATTATACAGGCTATAAAGTACAATTTTAACAGATAGCATACATATTACTTCAGCGAGTGGAATTTCTGAAAATACTGCACTGTAATTGCTAGAAAAGCTATGGATACAAGTTGCACTTTGCTTTACAAAAAAGGATATATAATCACATACCTAAGGTAACATTCTGACAACATGTCATGATCTTTTATGAAAAATCAATAATCAAGAAAGGATTTACTAGGAAAACTAGCCGTTGGTGCATTTCATGTCTGGAATGTATTGAGAAAGGGGAATCCTCACCTCTCATCACAGTAGGAGAACTTCATGTCCAGACTGTGACGGCTGAGGAAGGTCTTGCTGTCGAGTGGGACTTCAATGTTGGAAGGGTGAGGAATGGGTTCACAAATCAACACCAAATACGTCATTGGGGGTTCCTTGTAGCCACAGTTGTTGTGTCCATCACTGCTCTCGTACACCTGGATGTGGCCTGTGCAGTGCAGCACCTATGCAAATAAGAAAAGGCATGATTTTGAGAAGTGCATGTTTTACTCTGCAAACCGACAGCATCCTGGCCATGAAATTGAGCAAAAAAAAACATGATACTACAAGGAATCAGTTTAATATCAGAAATACTGGTTTCGGTTTTAGCACTGTTTGACTTGATAGGTCACTGTTTAGAAGCATTTGACTATCATTTAGGATAGGACTCATTTCTTTTGCTGAATTGGTGTATTAGTTTTTCTGGCATGTAGTCAACAATGACACCTATAGCCAGATAAGACATGGAAAGAAGACTATTGAGTCCTCTTTACAAAAAGCAGTGCTTTAGGGGTAACAGATTCACCAAGTATGAAAAAGGCTGTAAACCCATGAATGAACACCAGGTATTTTGCTGTCATTAGTACATGTTAATTCATCATGACTCTCCCCTCCCAAAATTTAACTTTAATGCACATCTAATTTTCCTAAGGTAACAGATGTACAAGGATTTTTAGGTGTAATTATATGCTTATATAATTCTAAGAATGTCTTCTGAATAACAAACAATTTTCATTTCAAAGGACAAATGTAAAGAACTATATACACAGGCAAATGGTATTTCTCAGGCAGACTAGCAGATTCTAATCCTCACCACCAATAAGATCCTGATTCAACCTACAACCCATGGTACAGTCACAATGGAAATGTAGTGTTCATGGGCTGAAATGGGAGCAAGACTCAAGTAAAAATCTTACAAAAGTCTTGGCAAGATGCAAGTAATGCAATTATCTGCAATAAGACTAGGCAATCTGCAATGCCACTAGGTAAAATGAAACTGGACAGGCTAAATGAAATGGATTAGAGAAAAAAAAATCACTACAATGACTTACTTTCCATGTGGCGGACTTAATGTTGACAGTCCGCCCTCGGCTGGTCAGCGTGCACTTCATTCTGAGGAAAAAGCTACGCTCCGAGTTCTGCTCCTTCGCTTTCTTTAAGGACCCTGAGTAAAGAAATTCATCAACTCCTTACAAGAGGGTTGGGTGTGTTGAACGCAAGGACCCTTGCTGGCTTTCCTTTTCTACCCACAGAAGGCTGAAACCCCGACTCATTTCCAGTTCTATGAATTTGCCCAAGTATAAGGACATATCCAGGGGAAAGGTTTTAGCATACTAGAATAAACCCAAGAGAAAAGATTGGACACGCAATTTCCAACACTGATAAATGCACTTGTGCTCCCCTTGATAAAATTTGGCTAAAGACTCATCAGCAAATATTGAAAGAACACACAGCTGAATTAAATAAGGGTAAAAAAATGGATCAGCAATGTGTCAGCTGCAATTATGGTGAACAAAAGCCATAATGGTAAAACCTATACAGCTCAGCTAATGTGTTTAGACTAGCAGCAAGCACCATGCACAAGCAATGTCTATGTGACTGAGCCCTCTGTATAAAGGATTAAGTGTTAAAACCTATTGCAGTGTTAAGTCTACATACCATCAAAAGCCAGAAGCCACTGAATTAATATTGGTTTTAAAATTTATAATGTAGCCCGATAAGAGTTTCAGATATACTGATGGAAGGACAGTACTCTGCCTTGCTTTTATATAGCAGATTACAAGTTTCCATTTACATTCAAAAGCAAAACCAAATCAAAGCTTAAAATATTCATAAAAAAATAATGTTCAAGGTTTATTTTTGCTTTTTTGGGGACTGATCAGATAAAAGCAGTTATGATTCACAAATGTAAGTAGCCCTGTCTCCTGTACTCACCTGTTCTGTATGTGAGCATTTCTCTCATCTCCTCATGGTCACAAGGGTGTGTGAAGTCAAAAACACTGTGTCCAGTCAGGTCAAACTGTCACAAAAAAAAAAAACTTTAGATCATGTCGTTCTAATTGTCTACAAACTAAATGCACAATCCTTCAAAATGAGTTTTTCTTGAGTCCAGATTTATAGCAAAGAAAATATTTACCTGGGTGAGGCCCATGCACTTGTTGACATTTTCAGAGAGATAGATCATGTCTCCATCCTCAGACAGCACCATGAGAAACCCATCCAGAGCCTTCAGATAGAAGCTGTTAAGCTGAGAGTCCATTTCAGACTCCTCCTCCATGTCCCCAGCTATGGAAAATGATCACAGAAAGACATCAATAACCTCTCGTAGCACAGCGAGCATGTGCAAGAGTGTGAACTAAATGATCTGATGCATCCATGTGGTTTCCTATGCAATTACACTGGTGGTGAGGACACAAAAGAGTTCTACCATGCAGTGCTTCCCAGTTCTTCTTTTAAAGCCTCATTATTTTCAAAATACAGAGGCAAGTAAAAAAACATGCTTTTACTTGTACGTTCATTTATGTGCAGGTAGTGTTTAGCTAACTGCATTACCAATATACAGTACCCAGGATTACCTTGCCACTAATTATTATGGTTAGCATTACCACAGCTCACAATGCAGTCTTTATTTTATTCCTTAGATGTTTGTGGGATTTGCAAAATGAAAGAACACACACTTTCACTAAAGCCCTTTTACCACCCAAAGTATAAAAAAACCAATTTAAAAAATAAGTTTGGTCTATGATGCATCCAAATGACAAATCTTGTTGCTCAAATAGCACTGTTGCTCAATAAAGGCTTTTTTGTCTTTTTGTTAACAGGAATACTTTATTCAATATTTAAAAGGTGAAGGATGATATGCTGCTTTTCATGGCCCAGACTGGTAATTCTCATAAGATTTCAGGTAATCAACAATCAGTGCACATGCAGCAAAAAAATAATTCCTTCACTTGCTTTAATTAAGTCTAGATGGAAAAACTTTGCAAAGTTTCTGCTGTTTTGGGAGGCATTTAATTAAAACTTGATGAAAGGTTGAAAAGAATGTACATGTTTATTTTTCAAACGTTTAGATGTAATTTTCTTAAGGTTATTTGTTGCTTTTTTCAAGGAAACATTTTACCCTCTTCTGTTAGCCATCAGCTTATCAATTTTTGATAAGGCTTTTTTCTTTTTATTTCATTATTGTGCAACTCCAAGAACACAGGATTATGCGGTTATGAAAATAAGATCAGTGTGTCCTTTCATGGGTTCATTCCAGAGATCTCAAAGCACTTCACATGAAGGACAAGATCCACCATCATCCACCAGTTAGGTCCCAGCACCCATGTGAATGGTGCACAGGGATCATTCTGGACCAGCAGTCCCACTACACAGCAGGTCAGGTTTAAAAATAAATACTACACCAGGTGAATCAAAGAGAAATTGTTAATTGCATCTGCTTTGGCAATATTATAATTTACTTTTCATGCCAATGAAGCTTGATTTGATTTCAGAAATCAAATAAGCAAAATAACCCTTGTTTGTAACGGTTTTTGCATTCTTAATTTAGGGAGGCCCAACTGCACCAACCCAAAGTGGAAATTCTGGGCCAGAGGGAGGAGCAGCACTTGCAGGTGTGTTGTGGCTGGTACATCTCAACCATGCTGTTATTCAATACACAATCACAGAAGAAAAAAAAAAGACTCATCCTTCCCACCCCTCCCAGGTGACTGACCCGTGCTAAGCAGCTTCCTCATGCGGAGATAGCTGATGGTAAGCCTCATGATGGACGCCTTGTCCAGGTGCGAGCTGACATTGTGAGGCAGGGGAAGCTGGTGTGCCAGCTCGTAAAACACTTCCGACTCCTTGCTCCTCCGACAGCGCGCTGCATCCCTTGACTTCTCTTTCCTGCGCTCCGAGCTGACTCTGTGAGGATTAGGAGCAGAAGAGTCGACCTTTTACAAGCAATTCAGATCCTGCAACACAAGCAATGTGCATTCCAGAAGTCTCCAACAGCAGGCAGCCCGCCAACAAGCACCACTGAGTTAATGTACAAAGGGTTACTCAACCGTAATCTAAAGTCACATCTAAAAGGGACTCATTCCATCCTCATCTCTCCACAACACAAGTTGCTCATTTACATGAACCCAGTGATCTCTAGTCTCATTGGCTGGAGACCAGAGCCAAAGAGCCCAGCCCTCTTATGTGATTGGCTGATGCTAAGGGCTCGGTTCCATGATGCGAGAGACTTAATCTTTTCTCCTGGCATTTGGCCAGGTCAACTGCTATTCACTTATTCACACTTCCTGACTCTGTTCATACAAGAAAGAGAAGATAATGCTTATTTTAAAAATGTGATATAAAGGAAGACGTAGAAAACAAAATTAACTCCAAGCATTTCAATTTCGTCGCCTGTAACATACTAAAAGATCAAGCTTGGGTATTCCTATTATTTTCAGCAGTTTCTTTTCCTATTGTCACATACATAAAAATAAACCTCCAAGAAAAGGCTAGCTTTTCAACAGGAAGCATGGAAAGACTCCCTTAAACTGTGAATTCAGTGTGAAAACTTAAAAATAAGTTTGTTTTCTATATATACATATTAATGTTTCTGCTTCACAAGATTGTGTTCAGACATGTAACATTTAAAGCAAACACACCCAAGACCGTCTTGTAGTAACTGGAAAAAGCAGTAGAAAAGTGTTAACTAGCCCAAAAGGCAAATCCAACAAGGTATATACTGAGAAAATGCTAAAGATCACTGAGTTTTGGAGAATGTACACCTTTTTATTTCACTACTCTATATCTGCCTTTCTGTTGTAAATATTTTACTTTTCTATAGTGACTTTTACAAGACGCCCAAAGGCCAATGGTCTCATTCCTCTTTATTACCAGGTCTAGAAGATGGACAACTTCAATCCCCTGAAAAAAATCTCAGGTATCAGAAATATGCAGAACTTAGCAATTTTCCCCCTGAACTCCACATTAGCAATGAGACAAAATCCACATCGGTTCTTCAAAGGTTTTACATACAGTTTATAAGGGCTAGCTAGTGGTCTAACTAGTTCACTTCTGCAAGAGACTAGAAGGGTGTATCTCATTATAGGAATCACATTAAGTCAATTTTTTTATTTTTAAAAGTCACACCACTTGTGCTGCAAACTCACCTACAGCTCTCCAAGCCAGTAAGACATACCGTCATCATTAAATCCTCACACGTCTAAAAGATCACTTTCTTATTCACCTCAGGTTTCAAGTCAAAAGTAGGTCTATACCTACAGACTTTAAGAGGTCTGTTCCACAAATAGCAATAACAAGAATGAAGTGGAATGATAAATTATTTAATGATAAATAAATTAAGCCAATGACTCCTCTGTTAAAGGTTCTGATGCAACGTCCTTTGTTTGCAATGGTGTGTATATGCAAACATATCATTATCATAGTTTGGGCACTTCAGGTACTTTTATGATCAAGGGAAAAAACACCTGTGTTAGGCAGAACATAACGTAATTCACAGGTTTTACCACTTTTGCATGCGTCTGTGTGCAGTGGTTTTGTTTAATCACTTTAGAAGGGCTGCCTTTTGTGTAGGATGCTTTCCACTCTGCGGGGTATGATTTGGAAAGAGCAATGTAAGCAGTAGATGGCCCTGGTGTCCACTATATAAAAAAATCTTTGAAATAATCTTCACTCTTGGCAGAGCCCAGGTACTTGCCTACTGCAGGATCTTGTCATGCTGTGTAGGATTAGGACAGCCATTTCTAGATTTTCACAATCTAAAAAAACATCATGTATACCTAGCTATAAATAATGTGAGCATAGTATAGTTTCGGATTAAACCTTTTGAAAGGGGTTTCTTTCCAAGCAGGAGTACAGAAACAGAACCATTGTGCAGTACAAAAATGAAAAATTCACATTTATCAAAAGAATGTCAAGAAGACTGTTCAATGGTACAGTTTAGTTCAGCACCAGTATCACACTCCAGTGAACATTAACAGACTTAATATTTTATTTTGCAAGTCCTTAAGTAGGCAAAACACCCAGTGACAGCAAATGTTGTAGGGATGAACTAATTCTATGATCTATTCTAGAGTTGTATGATTTTATATAATTGTTAGGATTTGTTTTATAAACTATGCTGTGAATATGTTGGTGCTTACACATTTATATTCAAAGACTTTAAAAATGCATGTAGTAACTTTTCTTATTTAAAAGAGGAACCACATGTCCAGTCCACTCAGCTGTACCTGCACTGCTGGGTTTCATTCCCACTCAAAGGCCAATTAATATATCTTTCAAAAGCTCCCTGAGATAACTGGATTCCAGCAGAACAATGCCCCCAGACATACGGACACCACCCAGAATAAGGCTCAAGGCCTTCTGACAATTTAAACTACATTAAAACAACTAGTTGTTCAAAAATTGTTTAGCATTATTTTAGATATTTAACTTTAGTCTTAAACAACTAATATACATTTGCTTTGCAACATATGCATTTCATAGTGCGCAGTCTTTAAACCATCTGAAAAAAGTCTCCTGTAGCAGAATAAATTTAAATAGTGCAACAAGCCGCTCATTTTCAGGCCAGTAGGTTTTCTACTACTTTGCTGGTAGTTCCAGGTAACAACTGTAACTGAGACTTTTTATTTCAGTTCCTCAGTTTTTTTTCCTGTTAATAGTATCTACCTACAACGAACACCACCACTCTATTACAATTCAAAAATTACTTGGAAACTACAATTTCCTACAGCTTCAACAATACAGAACCAATCATGCAGTCATACAGCTCTTAAGACAACAGTAAGCTCAAAGTTAAAAAAACAATTCAGCCACTCAGAGATAACCAGTGCTCATAAAGTTTACTGAACCATTTCCAAGACTTCTGCAACTGAAGTAATCAGAAAACATCATCATCAACAATCAGAAATACAGGATACACTGGACACCAGACCCATTACTGCTGGAAGTGCACTTTCAAAGTGATTAACTGAAACCATCTCACACAAACAGGTGTACATCTGTAAACATCCTATTTATATGACTTTTAATTTATACTTAATTTTTCGTAGCTGTATTTATGAATTACAACAAATTAGGAACAAGTGGTGTTGATATAAAAAAACCTCCTCTTTAACACAACATAGTATATTAAATAATACTATGACAACCTCAATACCCGTGCTACCAACATTTGCAATGTCCTTGTTTCTGCATTTTTAAAGCAAGCACTTAACCTAAATTAGATCCTAGCTCAACAAAAGAGTGCTTTGCAACTTGTATTTTTCAATCATTGCCAGGCACCCTATCGTATTACAATTTCAAGTAGAGGCTTGTGGAAAGAGGCTTGTAGTTACTGGGCAGATAAATATGGGAATGTCAGACTGTTTAATCCAAATCATTTTCATTTATGCATCCAAAGAAATAAAAAGAAAAAAAAAACATGACATGACTATCGGAGTTTGTTAGTGTGAAAGTCTCTGACATGCACTTGGACTGTGCACTAAAGTATTTCACAACAATGAGATGCAATCTTGACACTTCATGATGAAACTTCATGTTCAACTATATTCTGAATATAGAGGTCTTCCATTACCAATAGGTATACTGTTCCTTACACTTTTTACATACAAATTACAGTAACTAAAATATGCACTGCATATACTGTAATGGAATATTTTTTGAGATTCAAAGAAAAGGAATTACAATTTAATTGGCTTTAGGCGTATTCAGAGCTGCAAATCATGGTATCTATATCTGCATTTAACAGCATTCTCCTATTTTTACTGGTTCTACTGGGATCATGACAATTAACCTCCAGCATATTGGTTGTTTAAAATTAATTAAAACATGCCCTACTTGGCAAGCATTCACATATCTAAAAGATCTGAAAAGGCAATATGTTCCTTTTACATGTTACAGTAACAGGATTAACACTAATTATGTGAAGGTTATTTGCTTATATGAAAATTAGTCAGAGCCCTTAAACCACAAAAAAAAAGATCTTAAGACTGGGTTATATAGCCATAAAATCCTTTGGATACCTTAAGCAAACAGTGTGACTCCCATTGAAATCACACATGAATCCAGGATTAATTTAGCAATTCAGACATCTACATACAAAGATGTTAAAACTGGAAAAAAATCTCACTCAAGGACCAATCCACCAAGGGTCTTTCCTGTCCCCTGTATGATATTAGGCCCAATGGTGTGTTTGGTCTTCCATATAATACTCACTGCATGGGTTAAAAGCGGTTTCTGAGCCACTCCTACAGCAAGTATGACTGTGCGTGTATCCTTCCAATTTATTATTAACTTGTAAGCATCTACCAGAAATTACATCCACTAAGTTACCACACACCATGGCAGGAACTCAGTGATGTCAATACCAAAGAGATTAAGAAAGAAGATGCACGGCACAGTGAAGACTAGATCACAGTTTATTTAAAATTATAAATAAGTTATCATTCAAAAAAGGAATTATGCCTGAAGCACTCAAAATATTAAACCGACTAAAGGCGATTCAACAAATTAATTTTTAATTCATCCTCTAGAGCTCAGGAGCATAACATGGACACTTTCTGGAAGCAAATTAATTTATATTGACACAAGTGCTTAATGCACTATGGAAAAGTATTATTAAGCTCACTGTCAGATCCCTCATCAAACAGTCTGATGATGTACTGTATTGCTATCAGTTTCAATACAAGATGCAAAGGAGCTTCAGTGGACAGAAGTATTGTTCTCACTCGGGACTTCTTATTGATATAAAGAACAACTAATAATCCATTAGAGGCCAAACACAACTTAGGCTTAATTTAGATGAGCATACTAGATTCACTTAGCCACAACGGTATTGTAAATACTATATTATAAACATGAACTTCAGAACACAAGGTAACACACATTTGAGAAATCAGATATAAATTAGTTATATACTATAGTAAAACAAATACTGTATTAAGTGAAGTCATGATGTCTTATAACTTATTTCTTCTTGCTATCAGCAAGAAGCCATAGTTTCTTTGAACCCGATAGGAAAACAAACTGGTTCTTGGTTGGGTTTGTTTTTACCACATTTCTCAGGTGAATACGTGCAAGGGATTCCCAACCAGAATTTAAGACAAAGCCAAAGGAAGCGTTCTTAACCAGGCCAATGTGAAGTGGTGGACCAAGGCTTCAGCTGGAGCACTGCGCCAGCCCTGTACACACGGCGGACTCAACACCCTTTATGGGAAGTGTCTTGGGAAAATGGACTGAACACAAGAGACGCCTACGCATCTGCAGAATGGTTCCAGATGGTGCTGCTCATGACAAAGTACTCTCAAGAATTAGAAACATGACTGATAGTGGGTTTTACCAGAGTCGAAAGCTAGGGAAAATCTGAGGAGAATCAAGCCAATGCTGCATTTCCATTTTTGGTATCTGTACACTGCATGTAGGCCTACTTAATGTTGCAATGGACAAGAATATTTTCAGGCAAATGTAAGAAGTTGTTCTATGGCATTCCCTCAAACATGATGTTCTGCCAGAGGTTACGAATTTTCAGACAAAAGTCTGGGAACTGTAGCTCTTGTGTCCCTGTAACTATAGTCCTTGTTGCTCATAAAGACTTTTAAATCAGAGAATTTCATTTTCATGTTGTTCCATTAATTTTGTCATCAATAAACTATTGTTTTTCCAAAGCCAGAAGCTGATAAAACCCCTGATCTGTTAATACTACATGCATATATCATGATATCAGGGTTTGATGCACTGCGGAAATACAAGCTCTTTTGCCAGTGTCTCTAACAAGTTTTTTTCCTAGTGGCAGCATAAACACTCAATACCTTCACTTTCTTACTACTTTATTGGGACATCAGCACAAACTGTACAAACACCACACTGTTCCGTGAAACTTATGCAATATCCAAAACACTCACTCGCCTATTTCCGTCTGAGATTACTACTACGCCTGCCTGGAATAAAATCTTTGGTTTCAAAATATGAGGCAAGGTAAAAAAACGAGCCGTTTTCATCGCCTGCTCGAAATTTAGCTCGTTGCTATCAAGAAAGAACTAAGTATTTCCATGATAGATATGGCTCCATGCAGTCAGCTGTTGTAACTTACCCGGGAAAGTTTGGGAATAAGATTTACTTGCCCCGACAGAAAACAGTTACCAGTTTTCCATCTTGCCATTAAAAACAAAACTCAAAACTCTTATTTCCCACCTAAACCGCTTTGTTACAAGCTGGAAGGGTGACCAAACCGAGCCTCTTGGCTATATTTGTGACGCAAAGACACTTGCCTCTTATCTATACGCTAAGAGCAGAAGTGACAATTTCTTTCTCAGAAACACCAGTCTTTTTTTCAAGCCTTGTTACCAGCAACGCTCACCACCTATCAAGCATTGAAGCATTGACGCAAAAAAACAAACGCACTGTTCATTTTTTTGGGCTCATTTCTTTAGGCTCTTTTTTTTGGAATGGCAATATGACAACCCCTCTTCCTACAGGGAAGAATGTCTAAAAATATCTCGTTTCAAAACAACAAAAGGTCTTACAACATCTTCATAAAACCGTCTACCTGCACACAACACCTTCTTTGTTGTTGTTGCCCTACTCATCCCCCATCGCTGGCAAAACAAGAGATGGAAAGAGATCATTATCGGGAAGTAACTGCGCTGTAAGGTCCGACTTGCCAGCCCGCTCTCCACTCACTCCGGGCCACCATGAAGAACTGGCCGAGAGAGCTCCTCAAGCCGGCACACGAAAGAGGAGGGTTCCTATTTTCAATCACAACACTAATAACATGGTTGTTTCCAAAATCCTGGGCTCCATATCCCCGAGGGACCCCCGAAAACCCACACACGCAGTGAACTCCGCGAGTGCCAAGACAGCCCCAAAGCCTGATCGCGCACGGATTCGCGAAAGGTGTAAAAGACCCGACGAAAATTGGTTCATTTCCCCGGGGCTGGCGTGGGGAACACGTCCCGAAGACCCTGGGCTCAAACCACCAAAGCCTCCATTCATCTCTTCAGCCGGTCGCCTTTCCCCCATCGACCCAGCGCCCATGCAGTATTAATAAGCATCGCCCGCACAGCAAATCATCTGACATTCTTATCGAGTTCCCAAGCGACGTCTGTCTCACTTTTATTTCTGATTCTTCGGGAAACCGGCGGCTGAAATGCAGCACAACGTCAAGGGGCCAGGCAACTACTTAGCGCACAACTTCGGGATTTCCTTCCTGCAACGATCTCCCCTCCGTGTTTGAGGAGGACGAGGGGGGCTACAAACCGCGCCTCGCCTCACAGGCAGCCCCCGGCTGCAGGAAAACGAGATATATCAAACAAGTGTCCCGAATCAATCAAAGTGTCCCCCCCTCTCCTTAACGAAATCACACCAGAACTGTCCTGCGCGGCCATACCAAACACTCAGACAAAATGGCGACGTGGCCACGGCCAAGAAATGATTCATACGACAAAATACACACACAAAAATGGGGAGCAAATTCTCCACAGCACATGAAAACAGCGGGGACGGAGCCAGGGGCCAGTTTAAACGACACAACCCCCCTCCCGTGAACAACAAGAAAGCTCAAACTCACCTCTTTTTTTCTGTGACTACGACCGTGTCCATTATCGCATGAAAGACGTCAGCTAGGATCTCCCAAACAGTAAGAGTTCCCCCAGGCCCGAGAGTGAAAAGACGGTTTATAATCCAACAGGAAGACGAAACGAACCAAGGTGCCCTGACTTTAAGAACTATTTTTGACGTGTGTGGTAGCAAGAGGTCAAACCTCCAGGTGCCTGAAGGTCACAACATCTGTTTCGAGCCGGTGTGTGCGATTCGTTCAGGAGAAACGGTCCAAGCTCTCCGCCGCGTCCGAGATGCTCCTTACACTGTAGTTTGTACTCGCTCCTTCTCGGGGGCGCGCAGTCACATGCCTCCAGGACGGGGCCGCGCACGCCCCGGCCGAGCCTCCCGGAGATCAAAATTCAGGTAAAATGCGTGCGCGTTCCCCGAAACAGAAATGTGGCAGGGGACGTCGCTGGTTGCGTCAGGCCGAAGTGATTCCGTGGTTTGATTTAAAGATGAAGATGATTAACCCTTCGGTAAACGTATATATATACACATTGGCAACAGTTAAAAGATGTTATTAACCTGTTGATAAAGTGACAGTATTTAATAACATTTGAACGTCTTGCAGGCAAATGCCGTACACACCTCTTGCCATTTCTTAATATTTTAAACGTCATATTTTTAAAATATTTTTTTTAAAGTAGAGATACTGGTCGGAAAAAAAACAGTTCATTCAGACCTGAAGCCCATAAAAAAACAATTTAAGTCGCACTCATAACACTAAAACATTCTAATAAATCTGCTTAATAAATATACCTTTGAGGGTGAAATAACTGTACTATTATATTATATCGAAGTCTGATAAAATATTAAAGTCAGGATGTCACCTGCAGTCTGACCGGCATCTTGTTTTTGTTTTGATTTTGTAGTTTTTGGCTGTTTTACTCTTTGAATTGAGTGCATGCTTGAGATTAAAATTGCCCTCAGGAATGCTCGGGAATATAGTGTTCGGGAATTAAATTACATTGCATCGCATTAAATCTGCTGGGGTCCTGACAATTAATGTTACATTAGGTTAGGAGTATATGAAGCCAAAGACAGATCCTCTAAGATTACTTTGCCTTAAAACGTGTTCTACCGACATGACCGACAAATGCAAAAGTCTGCGGCAAGTAACAATTGAAAACAATGCTTGGAATTATGAGACAGGTTAAAGTCACAACGCTTCCAAAATTAAAACATAGTGAGTAGGAAGTAATAAATGAATACAGGTACAAAACATAGTAGGAAGTAATAAATGAATACAGGTACATTTAACCCCCCTGCTCTCACACACACAGACGCAAGTATTATGAATGAAGAGGCCATGTGACTGCCGCTATCAGTCTTTTTGGGCTCCCTAATTAGCTTTGTTTGAAATCTCCTTACGGGTTTAGCTGCCAGTCAGCGTCAGTGAGCGGTGTGTCGTGTATGCAGCTTGTGGAATTTGGTGAGCCTTAGACCTGCCCTGCTGAGGACAGAGCATGGAGCACGAGGCCTGCCCGGCAGACTAGCTCCATTTGTGACACAGGTCCCCAAACACATTCATAAAGGATAAGATTAGATCACTTTATTGGCCATATACAATTTCTTACATTTGGAATTTGTCCTTTCACATACCTCAGCTTGCTCTCCATGAGACACACAGGTGGGGAGAGAGAAGCTTGGAGTCAGAGCACAGGGGCAGCCATTTATACAGCACCCCTGGAGCAGCCGGGGTTAAGGGCCTTGCTTAGGGACCCGCCGGAGAAGGATTCCTCTGCCAGCCATGGGATTTGAACTAGCAACCTTCCAGCAACAGGAGCAGATCCTTAGCCACAGGGCCACCACTCTGCCCCATAGTGCCACTAACTCCGCTCACTTCCCTGTCTCTCTCCAGCACGGCGGGGAGCTGCAGTGACTTGGGTGCACGAGGTGACAGAAGGGCTAGTGAGCGGCACGGTGGCTCGGTTTGTATTGCTCCCTTTGAGCGGCGGGGCCCTGGGTTCGATTCCCGGATCTGGGGGTGCTGCTTGCTTGGAGTTTGTATGTTCTCCCGGTTTTGTGTGGGGTCTCACCAGTACTCAGGTCACTCAAAGGGATACTAGCAGGTTAATTGGCTTATGGGAAAAAAAGTGGCCCTGATGTGCATTTGTGTCTGTGTGTCTGCCCTGCGATGGACTGGCACCGTCCTGGCCTGTGTCTGAGCTTGCCAGGATAGAGTCATTCTGCTCCACAGCCCTGTGGTGGATGGAGCGTTTAGAAAATGGATGGAGATAGTAGCATTGCCTTTGAAAGAAGGCATTAGGAGATCTATATATACACTGACCTGTTATTTTTAGGTTATATATCCAAATATAAAAATGATAAAATAATTCGCCCAAACCTCTGAGAATACATGCATTTCCCTACAGAAATAATCAAATCTCCTTTCTTCATGGGTCACATTTCATCCAACAGGTTTGATAGTATTTTCCAGACGTTCAGCCTTTCTTCTGTGAAAACAGTCTGACTCTGTGAATGTAATGTTTCCCCTGATAAGCCCAGGTGTATGTAAACCGCCCGCTCATTCTGTTCTGTTTGTTCCGGAAAAAGAGCAGCGAAACGGGATTTTTAGGTTGTTTTGTGGAAAGATGAACTCTTAACAATGTGTGAAAGGAATTATATCGCGTGAATATTGTGAGCACTGTCGAATTGATCGCAAACATGCTGGACTACTTCTGTGCAGAGTTCTCAGTACTTGGTATTGTACAAAATATGTGTCTCCTCTACACTTATCTAAATAGACCAAAGTATCTACTCACTTTGATTGCAATTAATTTAAAATAGCAACAGGTGATCTTTAACTTTATGTGTTCATTGAAATCAAGACGAACATAAGCACTCCCCATGGTTTAAAATATCCGCTTCAGTCTGTAATGCAGAGCAGATGGGTGCTAGCCTGTTCACTGCATGGCCTGCGGTAGAATAGGAAGGCAGTGACTTTGAGCCTCTCCTTGCATCTTAAGGAAAGTCTGCCTATCGTGGAAAGTGAACTCTTCCCTGAGGAGAGGAACGTGTCAGCCGTGCGTGGGACACACTGCGCAGCCTGGCACTTACAGAGCACGGAAAAAATGTGAAGTCCCACATGGACGTTTCTGTGAAGAGAGAGCATTTTTTTTTTTTATAGAGAGAGGAATCTAAACACGTACGTTATAACTAACTCTGCCAACCACTGCAGTACCTTCTTGGCTCCTCAAGTTGCGCTGGAGCATTCCCAAAGTAAGATCATCAGAATTAGGCACCTTTCATGCAGTTCAGAACAAATAAGCTGTTTGCCAAGTCATTAATATTTCCAGAAAAAAATATATAATCCATGTGGGAGGGGGTGAGAAGGCAGAAAGGTATTGAATTTCTCAGTCCACAGTCTGCCTATTGATTTTCCTCAGGGTCAATAGAGGAATCCGAGCTGTCTGCGTCTCCAGTCTTGTTTGGAGCTGGGCTCTGGGCCAGCGACACCGAGAGCAGCGCAGTCGGGGGGGGGCGGAATCGGTGTTACTCTGCGTGGGGCCGTTCGCTCCCTGCCTGGCTCCCTGTCGATGGCGTCCCTGTCATTCGGGAGCTGCTGGCCCGAAGTGAGCACCTGCATGGAAAACAGCCCCTCTCTGCCCCCCGGTCTGAAGGACACCGCAGCGTGTGGGAGGAGGGGGGGAGTCTCATGAGCATGCATCATCCCAGGCTGCTGAGGCCAGAGTTAGGGGTTAAAATTTAGATCCTGCCACAAGCCCAGCTATTACTCAGCACAGGCAAAGTTGAGGTGGAAAAAAAAAGGAGTCTAAAAATGCTTTTGGGTTTTCAAACGTTCCAGTGCTCACTGCTAGAAACAGAGGTCAGAAAGTAGTGCTTCCAATGGTTCTATGAAAAGTCCCCTTGAGAGGCCTGGTTTCTTTGTTTTAAAGTCCCTTTCACTAACTGCCAAGTGAAGTGATAGGATTACTGGCAATAGTTTGGATTTCTCAACACGTTATCATCTGAGCCAAACTCTGTGCAACTTTGTGTGGGGAATAAATCATGAATGAATTCCTGCTCTTTCATGTTGTCAAAACAATGCCTGCAAAAGACATCTTATTTATCAAGGGTTGCTCAATTATCAGCTCTCATATCAAGTCCACCCAACAGGAGCAGGAAGTCTGCTGGTGAATACTGGATTTTAAAAGCCCTGAGAGGTATTAAAACGTTAAAACATATTGAAGCTGGTTGGTTTTTTCCAGTGTCCCAGATTTAACATGAAGCCTTTCCTTTCCTTTATGAAAAGTGAGCTTGAAGTTATCGGTCCACTAACTGCTGTTCAGCTCTTAAGCCTGCTCCGCAGAATAGGAAGATTCTGATATTTCAAATCCCCCAAACACCGCTAGCAAATTGCCAGGGCAAAAGAGGATTATCACAAGACTAAAATGTTCCTGTCATTTCATCATTTTGGTCTTAAGTATATTAGCACAATAAAACTCAGACAGAAAAACTGAAGTGAAGGGAATTTACAGTTCTGTACTTGTATGATTCCCTTCCTGTATTTACTGCATGATTTTTCTTGAAGGGACTGTGGCTGAAAAGCCAATAGTCCACTATTGTGTTACCAAAGATATTGCAGAAAAAATGTTGAAATCACACAACCTATTATTATTATTATTATTATTATTATTATTATTATTATTTGTAGTAGTAATATTATATGCGAATACAGCTAAACTTCCATATTACCTTAAAGATGTTAATTGTGATTTATCATGTAAAGCTGAGTAGACTACAGTACAGTGCGGAAACGCATAAATCAGTATACTGTACTAACGCATATTACAAACTAAATCAAATGAATGAATGTTGCTATCACGATAATCATTTTTAAGGGTAGCAATACATTTTCAAGTCTCTGCAAATATCACTTTGAGCTGTAGTCTACACGTACGAGTACTTAACACTACCATTATTATCGTCTACTGTGGTATTTATTTTTTTTTAATAATTCCAAAATATCCCTTCCAAATTCCAAATTTCTTTTCACCAGTATGGTTAAGTGAGCAGGGAGTGGTACTTGCTGAACCTCAGTCTTTGTATGCTGTTCTGATGTAAAGATACCCAGCTCACACTTAGATGATCACTGATCATTTTCACGCTCTGCCTCCTGCGCCGAAAATGTCGACGTAGTCGAGACAAGAATCCGCATTTTTAGCTGTATTCTAATCTGAAACCCCCTCCACTCACGGTGCCCTAGTGCGCAAGAGAATTTAGTGAGAATCTTGAGTTTCGCAAGGCGTGAAATTAATTACAACACCCGGCCACCAGGGGTCCTGCGTCCAGCTC